ACAGGCAGTCAAGTGAGTAGACAGGTGGAAACCCAGTGAAATGCAGAGTGATTTTTTAAACAAGTAAATAAGTCGCCTGCTTTGAGCATATATCAATAGCCACCGCAACTCATTGCGTAGGACTCACCGTGCGCTTTGGTTTGAGTGTCTCAGTGGCCCCCGCAGGGGTGTCCCCCTGTAGAGTGGGTTCTGAAGAAGATTTGGAAATGGAGTCAGAAGGACAGAGGTTTCCACTGTCCTTCTGATTTTGCAAGTGTGGTTTGTGGGTAACAACATTTGAGTCTGTCTTTAAAGGGTTGACGATCAGGCCACTCACGGGATTTAAGAATTTAAATGTCCTAGTCCCAGAAGGGACCCAGTTCCCTGCCTCCCTCAGACAAGGAGTAGTGAGACTGGAGGAGGGACTTGGGACTTGCCACAGGCCAGGAGGCCTGCAGAGCTTCTGTCTTCCAGGGGCACTTCATCTCCTGAGTTAGGTTTCTTCTCCTAGAACATGCAGGGACACACTCTTCTGTACAAGGTCAAGCAATATTGTACGAGGGCTTTGCGAACTGTGAAATGAGGGGTTCGCGTGACATTTTATTATTATTTGGCCATAAATGCCAGCTTGGGTAGCAGATTCATTCTTTCGGCAAGCTTTCATTTGGTGCCTAAAATACAGGCCCTGTTCTGGGCACAGATGAGCAGAGACGCCACAGCGAGCAGGGCCCCCCAACCCTCTCCGCGCTTACACTGTGGTGAAGTGTGTGTGTGTGCACCTTCGTGTGTGTTTGGTGGTGACAAGCACTATAGAGTAAAGCATAAAAGAGTGAGGGGGAATTGCCAGGGGTGGGAGAGGGGTCCGAATTGTAAATGGTGGGTCTGGAGGGGATCGGAGAGGGTCTCTCAGAGAAAGTGACCCAGATTCTGGACCACGCCTAGCACTCAAAGGGGACCAATGACATTTAAGAGGAAAAGTATATATATAAAGAAAGAAAGAAAAAATGTACTTGGTCTTGGGCAGCAGAGTTTCGAGGGAAAGGCTGGTTTTGCCAGGGGGTGCAGTGACGACCAGCTGAAACTGTGGTTAGGAGCAAAGCCTGCAGAAACGAAACCTTTGTCCTCAGAGCTCTTACACCCTCCGAGGCAACTTTCTGCTTCCTTCTCACGAACCAAACCCGAGCAGACTACACCAGGGTTTACCAGAAATAATTTGCATAAAGATTTTCCCTCCCATTTTATTTGAGTAGTTTGGGAAAGGAGCAGGAAATGGTGGTGGTTGAGCCCTACTGTGTGCTACAGGGCAGTGCTAGGCTCCTGCACAGCCCCTGGCATTGTATCCCCCCCCCCCCCGGGGCAGCCCCAGGGGGGAGATAACATTCATTTTGTAGACCAGAGTGCCCATGTGACTTGTCCAACGGTCCGCAGAGCTGGGAAGCGACAGGCCAGAGATTGACACCCCGTCAGCCTGGCTCCATCTCCTGAGCATTATCTGTAACATCACAGCCCCTTCCCCGACTGTGAGCTGGAGGTTTTAAAAGCCGCTGCTGAAACCTTTCACAGAAGGAATCTGGAAATTGTATAGGCCATCACTGATCAGATAAGTTAGCAATACAAAAGCCGACCAACATCCAGTCTGTGGGTGAAATAGATGCTGTTCCCTGTCTTTGCAGATTAAAAACAGGGTTAAAGACGTGCCCAAGGTACTTGCCTGAGGTTATATAGCAGCAGGTCAGCTTTGAACACACTCTATGGCAGCCTCGGGACATCTGGCTCTTTCACTACCTTCTGAGCCATTTCAGGTTCAGAGTCAGAGGCTGTGGAGTCAATGACAAACTTAGTGTCTAGTTTACAAGACCCCATGGGCAGGAAGAATGAGAAGGAAGTCTGGAAGCATCCCCCCCAACCCCATCTTCCTCCTAGGGAGGGAGGGGTGGAGATGCAAGAGCAAACCTCTTTGGGTGGCTTTCATTCAGATTTACAGCCAAGCAGTATTTATTCCGCCCTCCCAAGCACTTTGTCCCAGCCCTCGAGGCCCTGGCAGGTCAGTGCAGGACAGACAAGCAAACAGACCCTGGACTCTGGGCCTGAAGCGCTACCACTGGGCTCAGGCCCACAGTTCTCTTGTAAGGCGTCTATAAAGATGATTATTCCAGGGGAACGGCACGGCACGGCACGGCCGGTCAGGGTATGGGGCCAATGCACCGTGAGCCGGTGGGTGGTGCTGAGGTCACTGCTGAGCTGTGCCTCTGCTTATGCAGCACAGACAATCGCCTGTGCTTCCATCAGATCTGCTTTTCCAAGTGCCCGGCTTTGGGAAGCAGACCGGTGGTGGGCACCAGGGCTGGCTGATGGGTGGGCCATTGTCTTGGCTCCACCTTCATGGGCTGAACCTTAATAACAGTGTCAATGGCACGTGCTGTGAAGCTGGTGTGTGTGTGTGTGTGTGTGTGTGTGTGTGTGTGTGTGTGTGTGTCTTGTTCTGGGTCCCATTGACTAAAGCTTGTGGGAGGAGCTAAATCAAGAGGAGGCGTGGCTCACATTTCTCCTTCCCAGTACCCAATCAGGTCGCTGAATTTTTCTTCCCGTTTCACGGATGAGAAAGCAGAGGCTCAAGGAACTTGGAGTTTCCACAGCCAGAGCAGCTTAGAAGTGAAACCTTCTAGGCTCCTCCCCATCTACGTTGGAGGTGTGTGACGGGGGGGGGGGGGGGACTCAATTTCTTCCTCTATTTTAATGAGAAAATGCTATGGGGGGTGGTGTGGGGAAGGATGCTGGCCGTGTTTGTTTCCAGGAGTTAAAGGCTCCCAACTTTTGGACCTGTCTCCCTTTGTTTGGGAAGTTCACCAAGATGGGCCTTTATTCAAACATGAGGCAAAGTCCCCACCCATTGTCCTTCGGGAGGAGGGTGGGGTCATCCCAACCCCCACACAGATGCCGACTGCGCTGAAAGTTCTCTTTCATGATGCGAACTGACATCTTTTTAACAGACCCTTGAGAAGCTGGGGAGAAATAATCTTCCCGGAGGGGGTAGTGCCTCCCTGGGAGTTTATTGAAGATGCAGTTGTGGGGACCAGGAAGGGTCCGCGGGCCCTCCTGACTGGCCGGCCAGCTGTTCTCAGCTGAACTTTGGGGAGTTAGCAGGACAGCAAAGCAGCCCCAAACGGGGCAGCTAAGATCAGAACTGACTGACGGCCCTGTGAAGACCGCCCCTCCCCCCACACCCGGGCCCTTGTTGTCAGGGTGGTGGGAGGATTGGAGGTTTTGAGTCATATTAGTATTTGGATATTTTTAAGTCAGAATGATCAAGTGGGTGATAAATTTGCATTTAGAGTCTGGAGTCAAGGAAACGACGCTTAGCGCGATGTTTGGCTGGAGAGATTATCTTTTAATTTGAATTTAAATGTCTTTAGGCGGGGATTGCATTTCAAATCCCTTGGTTCTCACCACTCCCTGGCGGCCATCTGATTCACACATTGCTGTGTCCGCCATCTGCCCAGCCCCTGTGGCTAACACCGGAGTTTTCCACCCCAGCCGAGGTCTCCGAGCTTTGAGAATCTGTTTATTCAAGTGCTAATGAACGAAAGGCAGATTTGCTGACTGTGTTGTGGTTTATAACTTTGAACCTTTCTCTGATTCTCACTTCAGTGGAATGAATAATCATGGTGATCTTTACTGGTGATCTTTATTGACGACAGTGATAACTGGTGATAAATAATGTTAAAGAAGCTGACATTCATTTCCATTCATTCCACACATGCTTATTGAGAGCTGCTACGAGTCAGCACTTCTCTGGGTCTAGGGAGTAGGCAGCGCGAAGAAGGAAGACAAAACTGGAACTTGAATTCCAGTGGGGGTGGAGAGAGACAGACAATAGAGAAGATTCGTGATTAAAGTTCATGACCTAATAGATGATGATAAGTACGAAGGAAAAAGTGGGGAAGGGAGTAAGAAGTGTTGAGGGGAGGGAGAGAGTTTATAGAAATGAGGTGGCCGTTGAAGGCTTCACCAGGGAAATGAAATTTAGTAAAGATCTGAATGAAGTGTGGGAGTTGGCCGTCTGGGGCAGAAACATTCTAGGAAGAGGAAACAGCATATGCAAAGGCCCTGAGGTGGGATCAGGCCCGGCCTGTTAGAGAAGCCTTATCAACATACCAGGCATAGTTCTAAGCACTTTCCCTCCTGTGAGGGAGGTACTGCTATTGTTCCCATTTATAGATGGGCAAACTGTGACCGGAGACCCTAGGAAACTCACTGCAGCTTAAAGAAGAGGCAGGCAGTCTGACCCCAGAGTTCCTCCTCTAAAGTGCTGTTATGTTTGAGAAATGACTTCATTGGCCCGGGTAGACCCAGAGACAGAGGGTTTGCACCTCTAGCTCTAAGCAGGCTTCCCAGCCCTGGAGGAAAACCCTGGGTGTGGTGGTAGGGGAGGGAGTGACTCAGGCCTTGGCTGACTTCCTGCTGAGTCACTGCCGAGGGGCCTTGAAGAGAGGCACTTAGGCTTCCCCTCCTCACACGGGCAGGTTCCTGCTTTTTGGAGGCGATGCCTGGTGACCGGGCCTTAACTGCACACTGGCGGTGTGTGAATCCACCTCACTTTCCCAACAGGTCTGTTGGGAAATTGTGGGTGGGCTCTATTTCCTGGTGGGACCCCACGGCCAGCCAAAGAGGGAACAGACCTGGAGGTCGACTTTCCCAAGCTAGCCCTGCACCTTCTAACAAGTCCTGGGTGGACACAGCCTGTCCCGGGTCAGGCTGTCTGTCCGTCATTTCGGGTGAACCGTTCAGGGGTAGCTGTGTGCTTCGCATACCACTGCAACGGAGGACGAATCAGAGGTCAGCCACACACGTCCCCCTGGACCTCACCCTCTGGACGCATTCACTCGCAAATACAGCATGGAAGGAAAGTGTAAATACGTATACCAAGTTCGTTCGGATCTCAAAACGGGGCTTAAAGAAGGACAACCGACGAGTACTGAGCACTTACTGTGTGCCAGCCAGCATTCTAAGCACTTCTCATGTTTTATTTCATTTCCACAACTCTCACAACACCTATGAATTGAGGCACTTCCCTTTTTATAGATCAGGAAATGGATGGAGGCTGACAGAGGCCAGAGCCAGGCCAGGGCAGAAAGGACAGAGGAAGCAAAACCCGGAGTCGGAACGCGCAGGCTGGATTTGGGCAGCGGTGAGGGGCTGGAGCGAGAGGGCGGGAGAGTGACAGTGAGTGAGAGGTGGAGGGGACAGCGGGGCCAGACTGTGAGCCGGCCTTGAGGTCAAGGTGGCGGGAAGCCAGGGAAGGGTTTTCAGCGTGCTTCTCCCTGGGTTGGAGCTCTGTCGCTTTGGTTTAGTAGGAGGGACTCAGACTCTTTGTGGTGAGAAGACCTCTCGCTTGCTCCTTGATCACCAAGACTCTCTGTATTTCTTGAACTTCTGCTCCAGACTATCCTCAGAAAAGAACCGTGTGTTCCAGGAAAGGTGCTGGCGGGTCCTCTCCTCTGGGGCCGCGCCACCCCCCCTGGTTCACCTTTCCTGACTTTCACCTGTTTGCTTTCCGATTCTAATGCGGACATTAGTTGTAGCTGCATTTCCACTGCTTTGCAAAATTTCTCCTCCTTGGGTTTTTGTTTTTTTCTAACCCCCACCAGAGAACATTTTTTTCATCGCTTTTAGAGAAAGAAGAAGGGAGAGACAGAGACAAACATGGATGTGAGAGAGAAACATTGATTGGTTGCCTCCCATATCTGCTAAGACCAGGGATCGAACCCACGACCTAGGTATGCGCCCTGATGGGGAATTGAACCTGCAGCCTTCGGGTTACAGGACAGTGCTCCAACCAACTGAGCCACACTGACCAGGGCTCTCCTTCCTGTTTTTACTATGTGATCTGGTGAGGTGGCTTCATGACACATCCTTATGGTAACACCGTTCATTGCCTACCCAGTGCAGTCTCTCTCCTTCCTGGCATGAGAAACCCCGATTTTGCTCAAGGTGACCACATGCCCGCTCCAGACGATGGACCAATGATATGTCTAAGCCAACAGCAGCCCTGTTTCCGTCTTCCCAGCCTCCCTTGTAGCTAGGCTCATCCTTGGGGCCCCACTGCTGTCAATGAGACAGAAGGGGAAGTTTGCTCTGGGCTTCTGAGAAAGCTGTTCATTTTTTTGTCAAAAGGGAACAGCCCCAGCTTCCTCCCCCACAAGCCTTTCCCCTGCCCCCATGACTGTAAGAGTCATGGTGGTCAGAGCTCTCTGCGGCTGGAAGGGCGTCCATGGGGGCTGGTCAGCAGCCATTGCTTGGAGAACACCTGTCTGGTGAGGAGCGGGTTCGAGCAAACACCGAGAGAAGGAAACAGGCAGGGAGAGGGCTGCAGAGGAAAGCTGAGACCTTACCTGGGTGTTAGGATTCAGACATGGAACCAGTACGCCCCTGAGCAGTTCTGTGAGAGATGCATGCTGTTCTTTTCCCTTACGCTGGTTTGAGACGGGTTTCCACGCTTGTAGCCAACGGCCGGGTCTGCTATCTTCATGGTGAATGTCTAGCAGGGCTCCCAGCCTTTGCTGCAGGTAACACCTGCCTCCGTGATGGACAGTTAGGAGATGTATGAGGACTCCGGGCACACATCACCCACCTGCCCACCCACGACCTCGCAGCCCCTCCCCAGCACACCCCCCCCCATCTCCACCCTGTTGCTCAATCACTTGCCCAAGGGAATGCGGAGTGAAGACACCCAGGGTGTCATCACACACCGAGACCACTTCAGTGTCACAGTGTCCTCAGTAGCCCCTCGCAACACCCTTACTTGAGAAACGCTGGGGTTGAGAAATGGGAGTCAGAGGAAAGTGGGGTGGGCAGGGGCAGGGGGCGGGGGTCCGTCTGATCTGGGACAGACCTCTGAGGACATCCACTCGCTCTCCCGTACGCTAGCTCACACAGCACATGGTTTTAACAATCTTCTAAATTATCAGTTGAGATGTAATGGATCTATAACATGATATTAGTTTTAATGTACAACATGATTTGGTATTTGTGTAGGTTGCAAAATGATCACCAAAATAAGTCTTAAAATTCATCACCACACATAGTTACAATTTTCTTTTCTTCTGGTGAGACTTTTTAAGATTCACTCCCTTTTTTTTTTAAACTGGAACTTTTAAAATATATATTTTATTTATTTATTTTTAGAGAGAGGTGAAGGGAAGGAGAAAGGGTGGGAGAGAAACATCAATGTTTGGTTGTCTCTCACACGCCCCCTACTGGGGACCTGGCTTGCAATCCAGGCATGTGCCCTGACTGGGAATTGAACTCGTGATCCTTTGCTTCACAGGCTGGTGCTCAATCCACTGAGCTACACCAGCCAGGGCAAGATTTATTCTCTTAGCAACTTTCAAGCATCCAATACAATATTATTAGCTATAATCACCATACTGTGTATTATATCCCGTGAGTTTTTTTTATAACTGGAAATGTATACCTTTCGACCCCCCTTCCCCACTTTGCCCCCACCTCTTGCCTCTGGCCACCTCCAGTGTGTTCTCTACCCAACCTTCTTGTCGAACACCCACTTTGTGCCTGACTCTGAGACGGCCTTCTCTCCACAGGTGAGGAAACGTGAAGTTCAGCATATGGAAAATGCAAAAGGAAGAAACCGACTATTGAGTCTCCCTCTTCCCTCCAGCTTCTCAAAGAGGAATGACTTTAAAATGAAACAGATGAGCCCTGGCTGGTGTGGCTCAGTTGGTTGGCGTATCATCCTGTAACTTAAAGGTTGAGGGTTCTATTCACATCAGGGCACATACTTAGGTTGTGGGTTCGATCTCGGTCAGGTGCATATGGGAGGCAACCAACTGATGTTTCTCTGCTCTCTCTCATATCAATCTCTCTCTCTCAAACCAATAAGCATAATCAAGTGGGGATTAAAAAATTAAAATAAAACACATGAAATCCAGATCAGCAAACGACAAAGCCATGCTGTTGCGGGGGGGGGGGGATCTGGACGTTGAGATGGGGGGGTCACGTTGGGTTTGCAATCTCCTTTCTTGGAAACCTGCAGGAATGCAGACCTAACCCCTGGACTCATCTCTGATTGGCAGCTTCACGGAGTAAAAGCAAGGGCTTCTGAGTGAACAGACTTAGGTTTGCACACTTAGTCCTTTCTTAAACAAGTGGGTTCAGACAAGCTGCTAAACCTCTGAGGCGCTATTTCCTCCGAGTTCCCGTGGGCATTGTATGAAGATAGTAATACTACGTAACACTATCTGAGGGCTAACGTATTCTGGTTCTGATATAAGCCCTACATGTGCATTAACTCATTTAATACAACAGATGAAGAGCCAAGTACCTTGCTGGTCAGTTGCAGAGCCTGGTTTTGAACTCCGGATGTCTGGCTCCAGAGCCTGTGCTTGTACCATTTTGCTTCCTGCTGCCTCCTTGGTAAGATGCAGATGCCTCCCCATTCTAATCCCTGGGGAGGAAGAGTCACGGGCTGTGTGCCTAGAGGGCCATGCTTCACACCCTGGGCTTTATCACTCATTGGCTGTGTGACTCGAATTATTAGGAGCAAGTCCTTTATCCCCATCTTGATTTCCTCATCTGTAAGTGGAACTGGTAATAGTGTTCTTAGGGCTTTTATGAGAATGGAGTTGATACATAATTAGAATCAAAACTGCTACCTGGTAAGAGCTCACTTAACATGGCCGACTGTACTCTTTCAGGTCTTCTTGCATCCTAGGAGGGTCCCCTTCCCAACCTGAGTCACGTTCCTCCCTGTAACTCAGTCTCATAGCAGCCTATTCCCTTTCCAAACAGCATGCAGGACAATTTGCAATCATCTAGAAAAGAGTAGCCACTTCGCAGAGTTGTTACAATGATTCACTGAAGTAATGTGAGTAACGCACACAACTTGTTTGGCTCTTAGGAAGTGCATGTTTTATTATTATTATTATTATTATTATTATTATTATTATTACGGACAGTGGCTTTCTTCCTTGGCTAAAAATCACTGATGTATCTACATGTTGATAATCTCACCGAATCGAAGGTACACATCCACTGTACCCCACACCGTCACCGGTGTATTTATGAAAAATAGGAACCCATGAGGCAAAGCTTTCCTGTCACTTAAAATCCTCATCCGATGACTATTGAAGAGCTCTCTTCAGTCCTATAGACTGAAGAGACACAGACTCTTGTCACACATCAGGCTGCTCTGCCTCCTTGCCTTTTCATCTCAGCACCCAATCAGCATGGAGTCTCTTTGGAGACATGGTGAGTGCTGATTAAACCCCACACCTGCAGTGCTGACAATGCCCGGCCTTCTGGGAAAGGATGACAGATGGAGAGCTGTGACCATGGCTGTGCGTGTGCCATCGATGGCACCCACTGCACGGCTGTCTCCTGGCCGTCAGCGATGTCAGATGCCGTCCACGCCCGACATTATTTCAGAGGCAGAAAAAATATCAAAGCACATAAACATTTGATAAAAGACACTATTAAAATGTAAGGGTTTTCCTTAACAGTTGTAACGGTTCCTTATTTGGTTTTCCAAAAGCCACTGTGGTTTTGGTCAGTCCTGTTCAGGTTTTCCTTCTAGGCAGTGACTTCATCTTTAACATCAAACTTTGTGTTGGCTCAGCAGTGGGAGCTGCTGTAGAAGATAAACCCTAAAACCATGGCGGTTATCACCATAAAGCTTTATGTCTTGCTCATGGAAAGTCCAAAGCAGGTGTCCTTCATTGGTAGCAAGAACTTCGCCCCACATAGTCACTTGGGGACCGGATACACAGAGATCTTTGCCGGTGTCACTAGGCCACTTCGAGGGCAGCCCTGCCCACAGGCACAGAAGGTGTTATGGGCTGAGCCCCGGGGTGGCTCGCGCAGCACGCTTTTCTCAGATTCCACAGTCCCAACCTGATCACAGGGCCACACCTAACAGCAAGCGGGGCTGGGAAATGCCCTCCAGTGTGTCTACGGGAGGGAGCGAACCTGAGTTTGGTAACCAGGTCTGAGCGTCGGTGCCGAGCCTCGCAAGGAAACAAAGTGTGGCAACGGGCGGGCGGTGCGGGCGCGCTCACCCCTTCCTCGCAGCAGCCCCACAAACGGCCACGTCCTCACCTCACAGGCGGAGGAGCCGGGGCTCCGAGAGGCGAATGGCCTGCCCCAGGCCCCACTGCTCCCCAGTCATGGAGCCAGGGTTGAGGTGGTGTCTGCCTGTGTCCTTCCTTCCACACCAACCTGCCTCTCTGAATTAGACAAGAAAGGGGAGGGGGGAGAGAACGAGAGAGACAGACAGACAGACTATAGTCCTTGTACAGGCTGACTCACCTATAGGTGTCCTTTGCTTTTCTTCCAAGGCCAGAGATTTCACGCAGTCAGTCACCTCTTGCCAGTGGGTGGAGGGGACCAGCTACAGTGTTTCACCCACAAATAGCCTGGGTTTCTTTTGTTTGGGTCTGGCAAGGAGGTGTTCTCTCCTGCGTTCATGATGAGAGCAGCCTTATCGTCAGTGAAGATGCAGGTATAGATACAGAAGTTAAAGGAGATGTCAAGGTCAAGACAACCAAACACAATGTGTAGATGCCGATTGAATCCTAGTTTAAAATACCAGCATTGAAAAATATCTGGGAAACCACTGTATGTATGTGGGTATGGACAGAGTATTTGGTTACATCAAGGAATTGTCACTTTTGTTGAGTACAATAATGGTGTTGTGGCTAAGTTGAATGATGCCTTTAAGTTTTGGAGATGTGTATTTAGGGGTGAATTGTTATGATCTGTATACTGCAAAATGTGTCAACAATAAAAACAGCAACAGGTAAACAGGCGACACAAGTGAATAAGAACTGTTAAATGTCGGTTATAAGAAAGAGGATTGGACCAGGGGTGGGCCTGGGATCCAAGCTGGGCCAATCAGAATCCTCTGGGAACTGGGACTTGACATGGACCAGGAGCCGCACTGTCCGAATGTGGAAGAGGTGAGGGGCCGGGAAACCTGCAGAGATGCACAGGAGGGCGGCCCGCCGGGCAGGAGCAGGAGGTGGAGGAGCAGAGACCGTGGGCCTGGGCTCTTGGCTGCTTTCCAGCTCTTGCAGCCAGGCCTGGGGGAGGCCCTGCGTGTTTCTGCTTGGGGGTCTGCCAGATGCCCCAGTGGTCTCCTCACAGAGCTCTCCTGTTGCTTAAACCATCTCTGTAACCTGCAAACAAGCAAACACAAATAGTAGCTACGATGGTGAGTGGGGCTACACGTCAATCCTTCAGAGCCTCTGTCTGCCCATCTGTGAGGTGGGAATACTACAGGGCTCATGCCCCAAGGTCGTGGAGAGGGCCAAGGGTAACCATGTCTGCAGGGCTGTAGGCTGGCGTCTGTCCTGATTCGTCAGAACCTGTGCCTGACAGGGTAAGCTATTTTGAGTATTTTTCCTGACTGCAAGTGAAAGAACTCTGTAAACCTGAAAGTGGTAGAAGACTGTAGGTATGTGTGTACACACACACATACACTCACAAGGTCTGTCCAGAGGGAATCCAGCCATGGAATATGAAACACAGAGACATTTATTGAAGAAGATACAAGAAACACTGTACACAGGACAATGACACCTCAGTCCCCTTCAAAGTAGGCACTTTGGGACTTCACACATTTCTCCCAGTTGCCATCAGCTGCCCGGTCATATTTTCTTTAATCTTATTGAAGACCTGAAATCTCTTCCCTTTCAAAGATAATTTTAGTTTTTGGAAAAGCCAGAAGTTGCAGGGCACCAAATCTGGGCTGTAGGGGGGCCTGAATCTCCTGGGTGATTTGATGTTTTAGCAAAAATCTCGGCACGAGACCTGATGCACGAGTGGGTAAATGTTGTGATGAAGTTGCCAATCACCGGTTGTCCATCGCTATGGCTTTTCTGGATCATCCGAATAGTTTCCACAGAGGACTGTTCAAGCTTAATGCAAAATTTGACACAGACTCATTGCTCCGTTCACTCAGTCATTTTGAATGTGATGGCCACACAGCACACATGCTCACTCAGTGGCATCCACCGCCCTCACTGACTAGTACAGTGAAGTCGTCATTGTTCATGCATGTGCATTCCAGTCCACTCTCCTTGCCTGCCAGGCTACATCAATATTGTGCAAACTGTTCTCGATGCATTAACAATCGCTGGACTTTTCCCGGACAGACCTCTAGTTATCCACCTGCTACCCCAGTCTGCTCTTGACTTTTCCTATAAACGTCTCCATGGCTTTAGATGGTCGTTGTCTTTCTCTGGGCCTTCATTTATTTGTCAGGGGTTGAATGCATGACCACTAAGCTCCCTTCCAGTTCAGGGAGTGAAAGGTCAATCATCTGACTAACACCTGCTGTGGGCCAAGTGCGCAGAGAACACACCTGCCTCAGGTTGGTGCCGGAGGCCAGGGGGCCAGGAGCCAGGGATCCTCCCGGGTAACAAATGCCAGGTTGAGTCAGGGAGTCTGCCAGGATCCCTTCACTGCTCAGCCCTGTTTTGGTGGATGGTTCGCATTGCGAATGTCTTGCTCCAGGCACCATGAGTCTCCAGAGTGTCACTGTGTCAGCAGGGATCAGGAGAAGGAAAATGTAGCTTTGCCAGAAAAGCCAAGACCTTGAGGACACCTGCTGTCGCCTTCCTGGTGCCAGGATCACAGCCGGTCTGCGAACTCCTTCTCTCTGTGCGATTTCACTGCTTAGGGTGAGGGCCAAGTCAGAAACAGGCCCAGGATCAGCCCAGCCCGGCCCGGCCTGCCTTGCCAGGGCCCAGAGGCTCACGGCAAAAACGCTGCATGTGTGTACGTCATGTGTGCAAAGTTCTAGGCTTTGGCTAAATCAAACACACTGATATTTCTTCATGATCCAGAAATTAACTGAAGTCCGCAGAGGACGGCGGAGGCGCAGAATTAGGGACATCTTCTTTCTTGCCCATCACACAGAGGAGCGGGAGCAGAGTC